ATTCCTCCTTTTACAGATGATAAAATCAAGGAATAGCACACCTAATTCAACGCGGGTCACCTAGCTAGTGTGTAGTGACAGAGCCAGAACAGAAAAGCAGGCAGCCCAGCTCAAGGGCACTTGCTCATGACCACTGTCCTGTGTTGGTCTCAGACTGTCAGAGCCTAAAGTGACCATAAAGAACAGCCCATTCCAAGCTCCTCATGTTACAGGTGCCCAGAGTTGGGATGTAACCAGAGCTATGGATTTGGCCAACACAGCTGCCTTAGAGCCAGGCAGGAAAAGTCTGTGTCAAGTAAGCAGGTAGAGGACAACAGGACATAGAGGAGACTGGCCAACTAGAGAGTATATGCACCACCTAAATATGTAACAACTTAGTTTTGTGGGGGGTGGTGACAGCTGATTCAAACACATGTGTGAGCCTCATTCCACTCAAGGGACACCAGTCTGCAAAGCTCTGGAACTTGGTATACCATTCAGGCATAGCAAGTGACCTGAACAAAGAACAGCCTGGCTGGACCCGTTGATACCATCAGTGAAACACTGAAACCCAGGACTCCTAATTCATCTTGGATCTTGCCGAGCTGTAATAAGGAGCAGGTGGTCCCATGATATTCCATAGTCACCCTCTGGGACTTAAACAGGAGGCATCTGGACAAACCAGGACACATTCCCAGGGGAATGTCCCAGTGGTAGAGTCTCTTTAAGCCATGCCATGTGGACAGCAGTTGTAGACAGGCTGATGGGGTGGGAGAGCAACACGGATAGTCATCCATAGATCATGGGAAAACCATCAGAAGGAGCACCATTTAGAATTGTTTCTTTGGGCCTGGGGGTGGACATGGAACTGATGGCTGGAAACCACAAGGAGACCAATTTCCACTTGCTCTGAGGAACAGCTACCCAACATAAAACTGTTCAGAGTGGAACTTCTTTTTATGAGGTAGTGAGCTCTCAGTCACAGGAGGTAATCAAACGGAAGAGCACAACCACTAAAAATGGTATTATAGAGGGACTCGAGAACTAGCCCAAGGGTCAGACGATAGCTTTAAGATGATGGTGCCTGTGTGGCACTGACACTTGACTGACACCCACCTGTCCTTTCTTCCAGCTTGTCATGCAGTATCTCTACTATGGCGGCCCAGAGTCCCTTCTCATTAAAAACAACGAGATTATGGAGGTAAGGAATTTGTCATATCATCGCCCTGTCATGGCTTTCTTTGGGTGAGTGGAACCTCTGTAAACTTGGGTCACCAGCGTTCAACTGCTGAGTGTGGAGAGGCCTGTGTTGCAGGATCATTTGGATAAAGTCTTGGGGCTCTTGCTCCCAGCTGTCTCCTTGTTGTTGTACACTGTGGCAAGTCGATTCCAACTCACAGTGACCCCATGTGACAGAGAACTACCCTATAGCGTTTTGTAGGCTGGAACCTTTACAGAAGCAGATCTCCAGCTCTTTTCTCCTGAGGAGCCTCTGGGTGGGTTCGAACCACCAACCTTTTGCTTAGCAGCTGAGCTTTTAACCATTGTGCCACCAGAGCTCCTTGCCTGCCTCTGTAGTCCCTCCAGATAGGAAGGGCTTCTCATCAGAGCCTTCCTGTGGAAGAACGGGGGTACTTAGGGCATTAACCCACACCTTTCAACAGCAACTGGGTAAAACCCAATGTTAACTATCTTGGAAGCAGGGATAAAGGAAATTTATAGAGTCTGGGATAGCATTAGCTCTGGGCACAGCTGGGCTCGAATCTCACCATAGGACACTTTCTTCTCCCTTGTCGTTTGTATGGGAAGTATCACTTCTAAAAACAAAGCTTCTTAAGACACAAGAGTAGATCGTAAATCTCCTTGGTTTGACCCTCCTTCAGATACAGGTAGCACTCCCTCCACCTCTTTTAAAAAAAAAAAAAAAAACACTGCCATCAGGTCAACTCATAGCAACCCTGTAGGACAGAGTAGAACTGCCCCATGGGGTTTCCAAGGCTGTAAATCTTTACCGAAGCAGACTGCCACATCTTTCTCCCACAGAGCAGCTGATGGCTTCAAACCACCAACCTTTTAGTTAGCTGCCAAATGCTTTTGAAGAAGAGCTCTTTCTTCTGCCTTTGCTGCCTCCCTGACTATCTCCTCCTGCCTCCTATCCCAGGCAAACCACCAAGATGTTTTGCCCACCTTTCCTAATTCCACCTGTCTAGCCTCCCCTGTCCAGGGACTATGTTTCTGCTCCTTTCTGTCCAAGGCCAAGATCCCCCCTGCTTCTTCCTGGAAGTAGAACTCTTGGTTTTCCTAATCAGAGCTGGGGTTTTGAACCAGGAGCCAAAGTCACTTTAAAAAAAAAAAAAAAAAGTCATTTAAAAGAGCCAGGTCCCTGCTCTGACAGATAAAGTCTAGGGTGCCTGACTGATCTGAGACGTCAGAACCCTCTGTCATTCAGAATGTGAACACACCACATAGTGGTGAAAACACAGATGCTGAGCTGGACTGCTTGAGTTTAAATCCAGGCTCTGCCATTTCTGAGCTGTGTGACCTTGGCCAGGTTATTTAGCCTCTCTGAGCCTCAATTTTCATACTTGTAAAATAGGGAAGAGCCCTAGTGACATAGTGGTTAAATGCTTAGCACTAACCAAAAGGCTAATGGTTCAAACCCACCAGGTGGCTCTATGGAAGAAAGGCCTGGCAGTCTGTTCCCATAAAGATCACAGCTTAGAAAACCCTATGGGGCAGTTCTCCTCTATCACGTGGGGTCACTATGATAGAAATCAGTGATACCTAATAACAACAACAACAAAATGGAGATAACAGTATCTACCTCATTGAGTTTTCGAACCAGAAAAACCAAACCTACTGCCGTCAAGTCAAGTCAAGTCCAACTCGTAATGACCCCCATTTGGGTTTCCAAGGAGGGAAATGTTTATGGATGTAGATTTCCCAGTCTTCCTTCCACATTGTGGCTGGTGGTTTTGTCAGGAGTGGGATCCAAACCCACACCTCCAGGGGAGACTTGGTTTTTTATTGAGTTGTCAAGAGGATTTAAAAACTTACTCTTTATAAGGTGCTTGAACAGTACCTGGCACGTAGTAAGTGCCTTAAGAGCTGTGTATTCAGTGCACGGCCCATTTATCCTTTTCTTCTTGCTCTGTGAAACCTTCCAGGCCCCCAACACAGCTCCTCCCTCCATCTCTCTGGGCCAATCCTCTGATTTCCATACATCAGGACCAGGTGACAACCAGAGGATATGGGCTCTTCTGTAAAGATTTATAAAATTACATTTAAGTCAAACAGGAGCTCTTGTGGTGTGGTGCCTAAGGCATTTAACTGCTAACCAGAAGTTGGCAGTTCAAACCCACCAGCCACTCCACAGAAGGAAGACTGGGCAATCAACTTCTGTAAAGATTTACCACCTCAGATACCCAAAGGGGGTCACTATGAGTCAGAATCAACTCGATGGCAGTGAGTTTGGATTTTTTGGTTTATTTAAGTCAAAATAACGTACATCTAAGTCATGTCACTAATACAGAAGGACTTGTAATGAGAAGCAGCTGGCCCAGCCCCACCCTGTCCTCTTACCAGTCTTTTTCCCTAAACCCTTGCCATTGAGTCAACTCCACCGTGTGAGCCTCTGTGCATCAGAGTAGAGCTGTGCTCCACAGGATTTCCAACAGCTGATTTCTCAGAAGTATGTCACCAGGCCCCACTTCCAAGAAACCTCTGAGTGGACTTGAACCATCAACCTTCTGGTTAACAGCAAAGGGGTTAACCATTTGGACCACCCCAGTCCATTTTAACTCTTGCTTTTAACTCTTTCAAGACACCCTGGTAGCACAGTGATTAAGCACTCAGCTGCTAAGTAAAAGGTCAATGGTTTTAACCTGCCAGCCACTCTGCAGGGAAAAGATGTGGCAGTCTACTACTGTAAAGATTACAGTCTTGGAAACCCTATGAGCAGTTCTACTGTCTTACAGGGTCACTGTGCATCAGAATCAACCTGACAGCAATGGGGATGGTTTGTTCTTTCAGCCACTCCCCAAAATGTAGTTACCTCCAACTGTGTCCCAACACACAGCTACTGAACATCTCACTGGGGCAGGCACAGTGCTGGGCACCCAAAATACAGGGATCAAAAGAGACAAAGAGCCCTGCCCGCCTGGATGCTAGAGAGGGAGACAGTCAGCAAGCACATGACATCATGTCTATAGTGAGATGTGCGATGAGGAAGACTGAGGTGGGGTGAAGGGGGCAGACAGTGAGGCAGGGAGGTGACTTGACATGGGGTAGTCTGGGAGGCCTCTCTGAGGAGGTGACTTTTGAGTGGAGATCTGGATGAACAGAGGGAGTGATCCATGTGGATACCCACCTTGCCAGATAACATCGTTCACCTTATTTCTGGACATAACAATTTTGGGCATTTTTGGTTGACCTCCTTCTGTAATAGATAGCAGTTTGGTTCACTCCCACCCACATTCCCTTCCCCCACAACAGATTCCCATCACCATGTCTAATTCTTCTACATCCCCTTTGGATTTTCAGTCACATCCCTACACCGGTATGTCTAGTTCCTCCGCCTCGGGACAGTATCTCTTGCTCCCCCACTCAGGAAGATGAGGCTTCTGCTCCCTACCGGCAGCTACTCCCCTTCCTTCTACCTCCAAACCCCTAACAGGCTCTTTTTATGATTTTCAGCTTCTATCTGCCTCTAAGTTTTTCCAGCTGGAGGCTTTGCAGCGACACTGTGAGATTATCTGTGCGAAAAGCATCAATACGGACAACTGTGTGGATATTTACAACCATGCCAAGGTAATCAAGCCCATCCTCCCTGCCCGTGCACACACCATGCCCTGAAGGGGGGTGGGGGAGCTTACCTTTGCAGCCCACTGAGTCAGGCCAGAGAGCACAGCTGAGCCTGCCACTCAGGCCTCCTCTCCAGGATGCCAGGAAAGCGAGAACAAAGAAGTTTCCAAAAGCAGAGTGGCGCGTATGAATCACCTTGCAGGCAGCTTAGGCGGGTTTGGGGTGGGCCCGGCTTCTGCACAGCTAACCAGCCACCCTGGTGAGGCCACTGTTGCTGCTCTAAGCCACACTTTGAGTAATAAGGTTCTAGACCAGTGGGTCTCCAAGTGTGGTTTCCAGACCAGCAGCAGCAGCGGGGAAATTATTCAAAATATAATTCTCACATTCCTCCCCCTCAGCCCTACAGAATCAGAAACAGCAATTGTCTAGAACCGTGGTTCTCACTGGGCTTCGAAGCAGTGCATTCTGGTTCTGAGAATTTGCCTCTCCGCCCCAATACACCACATCAGAATGTACATTTTAACAAGATCCCCGGATGATTCTTCTAGATGCCCAGAAGATCAAGTGTACAGAAGGATGCATACATAAGAATTACCCTGAGATCCTGTTAAAATATAAATCTGATTCAGTATGTCTGGGATGGAAAGGCAAATTCTCAGAACTGAAATGAACTGGTTCTGACCCGGGATTCTCCACACTTACAGCACATTAGGATCACGTGAGCGTTCCCTTAAAATCCTTAGCCCTGGACCTATCACCGTCATTTAGATCAACTGCTAGTAGAGGAATCTAGGCTAGGATTTTGGGTTGGGTTTTTGTTTTTTGGTTTCTTTTAAGCTTGCCAGGTGATTCTTATATGTTGCCAAGGTTGAGAACAGTGTTGTTTGAGGACCCCACACCTGGTTACTAATCAGAATCACTTGGGGAGATTTCTAAAGTATTTAATCCTCCAGCTCTATCAGCTGCAGAGGTCACTCTGCTGTAGGGCCCAGGAATCTGTATTTTTAACAAGCTCTGCCGGTGCTGCTCCTGCCATCAGCCCTGAGGCCGGCTTTACACATTTCTAGTTACCAATGATCTCATCCAATTCTTTTCACAAATGAGGAGATGGAGACCAAGAGAATTAATTTGTCCAACTGCCACTTCATTTTGCTTTCTTATGCTGAGGACAAGGGGATGAATATTTGATAGGAAGAAAAACAAGATCAGCAATTGATTTAAAACAAACCCAAAAAATGAGCTGGTCTATGCCAACAGATGGGAAGAATGCTCATGTTGCTCGTCATGAAAACCCCAGTTGCTTTTGAGATGTTGTTTCCCATGTTAAGGCAAGTCAGTGAGCTCTTTAAGGGCAGGTACCTATGCTAAGAGCCTTGGTACATCATCTTTTTAATCCTCACACTTTCTCATAAATGCTGGTGTCGTCATTGTGTGTCACCGAGTAGATTCCAACTATAGTAACCCTACAGGACAGAGTAGAACTACCCCATAGGGTTTCCAAGGCTGTAATCTTTATGGAAGCAGCCTTCCTTGTCTTTCTCCCACAGAGCAACTGGTGGGTTCAAACTGCTGACCTTTCAGTTAGCAGCCAAGTGCTTAACTGCTGCACCACCAGGGCTCCCATAATGTTATCATTAGCCTCATGCTACAGATACGAGGGGTCCAGGGATGAGTCCAAGGATTAATGAGCTCCTGTTCCCCAAAGAGTTGGAGGTTCAAGTCCAGGTAAATATGCCTCAGAAGAAGGGCCTGGGGCTCTGCTCCCAAAATAGCAGCCACTGAAAACCCCATGGACCACGGTTCTATTCTGACACACGGGGGGTACCCATGGATTGGAATCTACTCCACGGCCACTGGCATGGATAAGGAAACTAAAGCCCAGAAAACTAAAGTGGCTTGCTGAAGGTCACACAGCTAGTGCAGAAACTTAAACCCAAAGCATAAGCTCTTAACCCTGTATTTACTGGCTAGCCTAATCAATGTTTGAAATCTGTATTTTCAATAATCCTTGATACCCAAAAAGAGATACTCTGATTGTCTATTAGTAAATGAAAAAGTATGGTCAGGCCGCTTCTTCCATACATACACACATACACTCACACACACACAAAATTGCCAAGTGTTCTGGTTAAATGGTACTTCGGTTTCTTAAGACTAAAATTCAAAAACTCACTGCCATCAAGTTCATTCCAACTCATAGGTGACCCCCCACTCGGTTTCCGAAGCTGTAAATCTTTATGGAAGTAGATTGCCCCATCTTCCTTCCATGGAGCGGCTGGTGGGTTTGAACCACTAGGTTAGCAGCCAGATGCCTTATCTACTACAGCACCAGAGCTCCTGCCTTTTTTTTTTTTTAAAGTGATGACTGCAGAATAGCTTGCAGGGAGGCCTCTCCCCACCCAGTCCCCAGTAACAGAACCTGGGTAGCCCTGTGTCCTCTGCCCCCTCCCCTGGCTGCCTTCACTCAGACTGCCCTCTGATCCCCCCTCCACACGTGACTTCATGTGACCTACCACCTTGGCAGAGAGGCCTGTGTTCCGCAATCGAATTTTAAGCACTTTGGGGTCTTTGGCAGGCAGTTTCAGTAGCACATCTTATTACTTAATAATACAACCCATGCGTCGTGAGCCAGGCTGGGAATCCAGTGGTGCTGCAGGGCTTAGAATGCCCGTGCCAGAGCCTTGTGTACAAGGCTTTGCAGCCAAGGCTTTGACTTTTACAGACACCGGCCCCATCCTGGAGTTTCTCCAAGGCTAACGTCTGCCCTTCGTGATATTTGCATGGAAGGCAGGGTACTGCCAGCCACCCCTTGCCCTTTCTAGGCACTGCTTCCCCTGGGCTAGCTATGCTGCAGGCCTGCTAATGATGCACGTCACGTGGATTCTATTACTGGCAGACAGTGCTGCTAAGTGAAGTTAGTTTAGTAAAAGAGGCAGGAAAGAAAGAAGCCAGTCCTTAGTTTGGAACCCCATGAAGTACAGGCAGTTAGATGCCAACAGTCATGTTGGAAATGTCAACAAGGACATTGGTGCCATTACCTCCCTCTTGAACCTCATGGTTGCTGTAAGCTGGGGATTGTCCCACAGGTGAGAATCCCATTTTGTGGATGCATAACTGAGCCATCTTTTCCCCTAGCAGAGCTGCCCCCTACTGTTCAGTATGGAAAAGAGGCCCGGGAGGTCTGGTGGCTTTTTCATGGAGTCTCTCAAATTGAGTCTTAGCTAATGCAGGCAGCTCCCCACCAGTGCAGTGTGTTGGAAAGAACACACATTTGGAAAGCATAGGGTTCATTCCCTAGTGTTTGTTGAGTGCCTTCTATACACTAGGAAATTACTAAGTATGGTCCAGTAAGAAATGAGTATGACACAGTCTTAGCCCATGAAAAAATTATGGTCTAGGACAGGCATCAACAAACCTGTTGAGGGCCAGATAAGTATTTCCAGCTTTGCAGGTCATACGGTCTCTGTCGCTCCTGCTCAACTCTGCCATTGGAAAGCCCACCCACTGCCATCAAGTCAGTTCTGACTCATAATGACTCTTTAGGACAGAGTAGAACTGCCCCAGAGGGTTTCCAAGGCTGAAAATCTTCACAGAAGCAGATTGCCTCATCTTTCTCCCATGGAACAGCTGGTGGGTTCAAACCATCACTTAGCACCCAAGTGCTTTAATCACTGCATCACCAGAGTCCCTCTCACTTGGAAAGCAACTGTAGACAATTCGTAATCCAATGAGTATGACTGTGTTCCAATAAAACTTAATTTATAAAAACAGGTGCAGGCCATTGTTTGCTGCTGGTCTAGGAGATGAGGGTTCTGGGTCCAGTTCTGTCAGTAATTAGCTATGTGGAAATAGACAAGTGGCTGGTGTATAATCGGCATCCAATACATATAATAAAGTATCTGTCGTGCTTGCTGAAGGTCCCTGGGTGGCACAAACAGTTTGCATACATCTATCAAATGGAAAGTTTGTGGTTCGAACCCAGTGGTGGTGCTGCAGAAGAAAGGCCTGGCAATCTGCTGTCAAGGTTACAGCCAAGGAAAACACTAAGGAGCAGTCCTACTCTGTAACACAGGGTCACCATGAGTGGGCCAGAGTTACTTTGACTGGGCTTATGATTCTCCACCTGCTCTAGTTTGTAATGAGTGGCACTCACTCACAAAGTAGGGTGAAGTGGAGTCTTCGTGTCCAGAGTGAGAGGCAACTCTGGGCCTCAGTTTCCCTACCTGTACTCAGTGACTCAAAAGGCAGAGTCATGTCTTTCTTCCTCACTGCTATGCCCCTAGAGCCTGGCACAGAATAGTCAGTGGAAAGCATTCCTGGGGTCTCTCCAGCTCTAGGAATCTGTGCCTTTTCTGTGAACATAAGCCCTCTCACTTAATAAACATCTTCAAGCCTTCTAAGCCTCTCAGAGGTCACAGGAACTGGACCTGAAATGGCACTGTGGCAGATGGTACCTCCTGACTCACCCCTTCATTTTGTAGATGGGGAAAGTGAGGCCCAGAGACGTGATTGGACTTATGCAAAGTTACACAGGGCTTTCATGCAGATGGTGAGCTTGTTGACACAGTGAATTAATACATGGTGTCATGGGTTCAGGTTATGCTCTTTCTGAGAACCAATCAGCTTGGCTAGGTTCTCTGTAGATACAGGTGTCATAAATATTAGCTGTTGGTATTATTACTCTGAGAGCCAGCTGTTCATACATATATTCAACAAATACTTATGGTCTCCTGTTATTTGCCAGGCCCTCTGCTAGATCTCTAAGATGTAAGGGTGACACAGGTAGACTTCGGCTTTAGTCTGGCAGGGACCACGTCTCCAAGTCAGGATTTTTCAACCTTGGCTCTATGGACAGTTTAAGGGGGGTGGTTTTTTGTCATGAGAGCTGTCCTGTTCATTTCAGGATTGTGAGCAGCGTTCTTGGCCTAAAGCTACTAGATGACAATCCCTCCAGTTGTGACAACCAAAAAATGTCAGACCTTGCCAAATGCCCCCTGGGAGGCAAATCACCCCAAATGGCGCTGTAGTTAAGGCATTGGGCTGCTAACTAAAAGGTAGGTGGTTTGAACCCACCAGCTGCTCCATGGAAAGATGATGAGACAATTTACTTCCATGAAGATTTACAACCTTGGAAACCTGATAGGGATCACCATAAGTTGGAATTGACTCAATGGCAGTGGGTTTATTTTGGTTTTTCTCTATGTAGGCAGTGTCCACTCACAGGGTCATTGTTGTTGTTGTTATGTGCCGTCGAGTTGGCCCCGACTCATAGTGACCCCTCCTTGGGTTTCCGAGGCAGTATCACTACGGAAGTAGGAATGCCCAACCTTCCTTCTGAGGAGTGGCTGGTGGGTTTGAACCGCCAGCCTTCTGGTTAGCAGTCAAGTGCCTTAGGCGCTATGCTACCAGAGCTCCCCTACAGGGTCATTGTGAGAATTAAATGAGTTCATTCCTAAAGAGAGCTTGAACTATGTTTGCCACCTACTGAGTAGTCCATTAGCATGACAGCTGTCTGTTACCACAATAATGCAGCATCACAAAGAACCAAGAAACCCAGTGGCTTAAAACAGTGAGCACTAATTTAGCATATGCGGTCTGCTCTCTAGCATAGTGCCTAAGATACTTGACTGATAACCAGAAGGCTGGCAGTTCAAACCCACCAGCCATTCCTCGAAAGGAAGGTTGGGTAATCTACTTCCATAGTGATTGATGCTGCCTTGGAAACCCAAAGAGGGGTCGCTATGAGTCGGGTCCGATTTGACGGCACCTAACAACAACAAGAAGTTCTACTCTCAGCTGAGCTTCCTTCAGACATCAGCCAGCTGTGGGTGGGCTTTGCTGATGCTGGCTGGCCTCTATCACCGCAGTCTAAGACATCAGCTGGGACAGCTAGCCTGACTCAGCTCAGTAAGCATGTCCCTCATCCTCTAAGCAGCCTGGCTTGGGCGTGTTTTAATGACAGAGGCAGCCTTCTGAGCAGGACGGGGGAGCTCTCAAGGTGCCTCTTGATGCTAGTTCGGAACTAGCACCCCTAGGCACGTTCTGTTGGCTAAAACAAGTCACAAGGCCAGCCCGGCTCCAAGCAGTGGAGAGTGGCCTCCAGCCTTGATGGGAAGAATCGCAAAGTCACATTGCCAGTGGGATAGATAGAGCGAAGGGCAAAGAGTCAGGGCCAGTTTTGCAGTCCTCATGGAATCTGAAGGCAGCCGAGTGCCTTTCAGAAATGTAACTGTTTCTGCTTCCTCCTCCTCTCCACAGTTCCTTGGAGTCACAGAGCTCTCAGCATACTGTGAAGGCTACTTTCTCAAGAACATGATGGTCCTCATTGAAAATGAAGCATTCAAGCAGCTCCTGTATGACAAAAACGGTGACGGGACGGGCCAGGATGTGCTCCAGGACTTACAGAGGACGTTGGCCATCAGGATTCAGTCCATCCACTTGTCCTCATCCAAAGGGTCCGTTGTATGAAAAGTCCAGTGCAGGGAATGCTCCCCGAAGACTTCCCAGTTCTCCTATTGCATTGACTTCAAACACAATTCCACCTGGCGTCTGGTTTGGGCTGGGCCAAGGAGCTGCCGCTACTGCCTCGGTGTCTCTTGAATAAGCAAATTCAGCTCCCATGCGTTCCTTTTGAAAAACCAAGGACCTTTCACCAGTCTGAGAGCCACAGCTGGGTCCAGAGCTTGAAGGTCAACACATGGCAACCAAGCCAACCTGTAGGGCTGTTGAACACTCATTGCCGGGGACCACTGTCCAGTGGATGGATCAGGAACTGAAGGTTGTTTGGGTTCCAGGTTGTCACTTGGAAAACTTAACTGTCCCTCCCCTGAAGAGCATTGCATTGCTCATTCAAGCACTTGTTAGCTGCGGTTCAGCAAGAGGCAATCACATTAGCAAATTGGTGAGACTGTTAACCAATGATGAAGAAATCATTTGGCAAATTTTTAGGGGTGGGAACTTTTTAAAATGTTCATAAAAAATAATAATCACACGGCAGCCTTGTAGTTTAAAATATATTTCTAAAAGCTTAACAGTTCATTTTAAATTGAATTGTGTTTAGGGATCTGTGTTTTGAGGTTGTTATTCTTTTCCAGAAAAAAAAAAAACTAAAAAACAGAAACAATACTAAGTCGCAGGTCCACACTGTGTAAACATGCATCTGACGAGTGTTGCTGACGTCCTGTACAAGGTGGAGAAATCTTGCCTTAGTGATCATGGTTACACAAAAGAGGTGCACTGCCAATAATTATGTCTAATACAATCCTTGACAACAACCTGCATGCTGATCGTGGTTTCGGGGTTAGAATAAGACACCCCCACATAACAAAACATGCATTTGCATGGGCCCAAACCTGTGAGATGTTGTCTGTGCTTCCTTTTTGCCAAGGTAAAAAACATTCCGTCACATCTTGCTAACAGTCCATTTGGTGCAACTGACATGTCCACGTCTTTTCCTAATTAAGAACGATTCTGAGATGCTTTTGCAGAAATGTGTTCATAGATGATGCTGAATGGGGATGGGGAAAGGGAGGGGGGAAGCACGTCAGAGAATGTACTATTAATCCCAGAGTTTTTTCTGTATTCTTGGAAGATGTTAATAGTTTGTTACTAGCAGAGAGGAGGACTATGTTAGATTATTTTTAAAGACTAAACATGTATGATAGGGTAGAGTCTCTGTATTCTGACAGTGTACAGTATAGGGTTATCTATAAGGAGAGTTTTTATTGTCAGGGTTTCGTTTGCTCTGCCATATATTATAAGCAAAAGAGATTGGTGAAGTGCCACAATATTCAAAGTAATATTTGAGTTTGCTGCCTTTTTCCTTGTCCTTTCATTTGAGACTTAGATACATGGTGTAGAGGCTAGGAGAATGACTTTAATCCTTTGGGATGGCCAAGTTTCACTGATAAACCTATTTCCTAGCATGACTTCGGGAACTTGTGCCCAATCCTAGATTCTAGAAAAGCTGCAGTTCATTTGTTGTACCAGCTCCCGGAGAACCGATGTCGAGTCCTGTTGCGTATGTGTGACCCATGGAATACCTGGGCCGCATCTGTCTACAGTATTGGTCTTCTGTGATGCTGACCCACAAGGCCTCTCTTCTACTTGGTCATTTGCAAACCTCCCCAGACCCTACAACCAAATGAGGAAAAGAGAGGAAAAAAAAAACTGCCTACAGAGGAGTCCATTCTGGTGACAGCTACACAGCGTGTTGTCACCGCCATCTCCTGCCTCTTCCGTGTCCTCAGAGATGCCACGTGGGATGTTTCCTTAACCGTGACTTACTTTCTGTGAATGTCTGATGCTAGTTCAAGGTCTCCAGGCATTGGTCTGTACATGGCAACTCCCAATGGGGCTTCTGTTATAGTTTGGTGTGCTTTCTCTGTCATTAAAAGAAATGATTTTCCCAAGCAATGCATCGTTTGTCTAGTACGAGTAAGATCTTTACCCGATAGTTCTGGCCTGAGAACTTGAATCAGTTAAGAGACTGGGAAATGTGGCCCCACAGAATAAGCCAAGGGAAATGAAGGCACTAGATAAAAAGTCAGGTGCTTGTCTTATTGACAGAGTCTCTGGGTGATGTGAATGTGAATGCACTCAGCTGCTGACTGAAAGATTGGAGGTTTGAGTCTACCCAGAGGTGCCTCAGAAGAAAGGCCTGGCAATCTGCTTCCGAAAGATCAGCCAATGAAAACCATGAGTTGGAGGCTAACTGAACACAACATACCAGTACCACTTGCTGTCGGCCTTATATCAGTTCATGGTGACTCCCACGTGTTTCAGAGTCAAACTACCCTCTATAGGGTTTTCAATGGCTGGGATCTTTGAAAGTAGATTGCCAGGGCTTTCTTCCAAGGTACCTTTGGGTGGACTCTAACTGCCAATCTTTTGGTTAGTCAAGTGCTTAAAAATTTATACCTCCCAGGCACTACTTAACAACATATTAAAGACCAATTATTTGGGTGGGGTTAGGGGGCTTGGTGTGCAGATAAGCCAACTTGGGGGTCTTTATGTTTATTTGGTGGCTCCTCGAAAACACACCTCCCTCTTTCCATTCCATTTGGAAGAGGTGGAGGGGAAGTTTGGTGGCAGGCTCCCTTGCACTAAGGAGCCCTTGTATAGGCTTTGCGAAGGCCCACGTGATAAAGCCAACTGTCACACAAGCTAGAGGCAAACAGGTAGCAAACACTTCATCTTTCCAAAAGGAATAAATCAAATGGTTCATGCACCCTGAGGCTACACAGAAGGTGATGCACAGTCAGAAATAAATCAACCTTCTGTTCTAGCCTGACTCAAGAGTTCTGGCCCCTGGCCCTTGGCTGCGTTGGTTGCTTCTTAAAGAAGAAACAGGCCCTGCTTGCTATGCAGGGGTGAGCAGTTGCTCTGGGGAGGCTGTGTGACACCAGCTGTGTGCCGGGCCCCACTGGTTCAGGTCTCACAGGGCTGCCTGGGCCCCTTCTCCCCAGCTTCATGTGGGTCCTTGTGGATGAGTCGGAAGGGTTCATCTCTACACAAGCCCTGGTTCAGCCCTGGCTGGGTCAGGAGGCAGAAGGGACCAGCTGAGGACTTGATTTGACCTTAGTGATGGTGAGACCTGAGGGGAGAGCTCCTGTCCCTCCTTGACCCCCAGCCCTCAACCCAGAGTGCTGCAAACATCCACCAGCACTGACTTGTGGCTGCCCCTTGGTGAGGAGTATGCCACGTTGAGATAGCTTGTCTTTCTCCAAGCCCGTTAAGATCCATGAATGACAGCCAGGACTCCACCTCTGCAGGTGAGTTACCTGCAGTAGGTAAGACCTACTAAGACAGTGGCCTGGGTGGTGAGACCTGTAATTCCTTTGGCTCTGGTAGCATAGTGCCTAAGGCACTTGACTGCTAACCAGAAGTCTGGCAGTTCAAAGCCGCCAGCCACTCCTCGGAAGGAAGGTTGGGCAATCTACTTCCGTAGTGATACCGCCTCGGAAACCCAAGGAGGGGTGGCTATGAGTCGGGGTCGACTCCACGGCACATAACAGCAACAACAATGAGAAGGAAATCCTAGGGCACCACCCAGAAGTGTATACAGACCCAAGGAACTAGAGCTTAGTTGGCCCATCACCCACCCACCAATAAGACATAAAAACCTGGTTGGCAGCAAGTCAATTCCAAGTCATGGTGACCCCAAGCACAATGAAATGAAATGCTGCCTGATTCTGCACCACCCGCATAATAGGCTATACAGATCGTACTATTGTGACCCATGGAGTTTTTATTGGCTGAATTTTAGAAGTAAATTGCCAGGCCTTTCCTCCTGGTCCCTCTTAGTCTGGAAGCTCCACTGAACCCTGTTCCACATCAGAGCAACGCACGAGCCTCCACTGACAGATGGGTGGTGGCTGGCTGTGCACGAGGTGCCTTGACTAGAAATCCAACAGGGGCTCCTACATGGAAGGTGAGGATTCTATCACTGAACCACCAGTGCAGTCTTATATGCATTATACCTGAATGTCTTCTCTGCTCCTCAAAAGAGTAAGAATCTGCCACCCAAAGTGGAGATCAAGAGTGTGGGCACCCATCGCAGGTGGAGCCTGGACAGAAACTGAAAGAAGTACGGCCCAGCGTCAGGGCGGGTTTGGATGGAGGCCCTTAAAGAGCCTCTTCCTGACAGTCCGTAGTTCTGCAATTCTGTTTTCATAGCTCACCGTCTTTCTTCCTGTAAAGCCCCAGGCAAAAAGCATTGCTCCAACTGAGTGTTATTTTATCCAGCATTGTCTTTGTTGTTATGTGCCGTCAAGTCAAACCCGACTCATAGCGACCCCTCCTTGGGTTTCCAAGGAAGTATCACTACGGAAGTAGATTGCCCCACCTTCCTTCCGAGGAGTGGCTGGTGGTTTGAACCACCAGACTTCTGGTTAGCAGTCAAGTGCCTTAGGCACTATGCTACCAGAGCTCCCTGCATTGTCTTATCAAGAGTCTTTTATCACATAGCCTTTGTTATTATTATTGGTGAAAGTACACAGTCAGAGATACATCATTTCAACATGTACAATTCAGTGGCATTGATTCCTTTCTTCAAGTTGTGCAACTATTCTCACTATCCTTTTTCCAAATTATTCCACCACCATTTACGTAAACTCACTGTTCCCATCCAACCTTTCGAGTTGCCCTTGTCAATTTGATCTTACACAGATAATTCTTTAAAAGTGCACAATGCTCAAAGCAGATGTACTTTACTAATTAAGGTGAGCAGTTTTTTTGGTTCAAAGAAGACTCCATGAGTTTCCATTTATGGTGAGGGGAAATTTGGCATCAATTAAAGGTAATGGTTGCACAACCGATAACTTTAATCGATATCACTAAATTGTACACTTGAAAAATAATGAGTTGGCAAATGTTGTTTATATATATATATATATATAATAACAACAACAAAAATAGCTGTTGAGGCTGTTTACGGACAACCAAAGAGCCCATAGGATTTGTTTTCTTGATTTGGACACCGAAGGCCATGGTTTTGGGGGACATCCCAATCAATCATCCTGA